AGCTCACCTGGTACCAGGATTTCCAGCGGAGCTTCGAGAGCTGGGGAGGGTCTGGGAGCTATTTCTGAGAGGGAAATCACCCAATGGCCAATGTCTTAAGTTATAGATCAGCTAGAGGCCAGTCATATGGACTTGGGCAATGAAAAGCCAACCCCTTAGTCCAGGGAAGGTTGGCCAGACCCTAACTGGACGTCCAGGGTTCCTCCCGCCAATTGGAAACTCCTTACCAATTAATATGCTGGTGTGTTTGTGGGCTTGTGCAGTCTGGTATCAGGAAAGGTGGAACCATGAAGTCTGTATAGACCTGTCTGGCTGCCTAGCCCACGTGGCAGAGCACCACATGTGGGCTGCATTGGCACAGCTCATGTGGTGGAAGTTTTGCAAGCCTCTCAGCAGCGGATGAAGTTGGTCTGCAGCAGCGGTGGGAATTCACATGGTTGGTGATGGCAGGTAGCAGCAGATGAAGTCCTCGTGGTGTAGTGGTGGCAGCTGCAGCGGTGGGGTTGCAGCAGGCCACATGGCGACAGTCTTGTACTGTCACAGCAGACTCACAGCAGCCGGCTGTGGCTGCTGACAGCCGCATGGGTCTTGCGATTCCTGAAGTCTTCATATCCCGGGTTTCGGCACCAATGGTAGACTTCAGCGTGCAGCTTGGAAAAGACAACACCAGACCAAACTGTTCCAAAGGGGAGGGGGTTTATTTGGGGCAGAGGGCAAAGGTAGGAAGAGAAACGGGAGAAGATGGTGGAGAAAGAGGAGAGAGAGAGGAGAGAAGTGGAGACCAGCCATGACCACGTGGAGAGAGGGGGAAGGGCAGGGAAGGGAGGAAGGGCAAGGAGAAACTAGAGGCAAGAGAGTAAAAGAGTAAGAGAGAGAATATGAACATTTTCAGTGTCTTTCACCCTGGGGATTAAACCCAGGTCCTTCCACACGCTAAGCACATAATCCACTACTCATTTCTAGCCCAGAGAACTGTTTTACAATCATACTAATAAACACATCAGTGAAACTCCTAATGTAGCTAGTCATGAAAGTTTTAATGAGAAATGAGTCTTGACAATTGGTATAATACCTGATAAGCAACCACAAAAGTTGAAGGAATACAATTATATACATCTAAACCACAAGTAAAAAGAAAGATGTTAAAAGAAATGAAATAGAATAATTTTAGAATGGATTCTTATTGCATGATAAGCAATAGACTACTAGTCCATGAAATAGCAATGTATTGGATGAAAAAGTTTGTATATGAGCCCTACTAGGTTTCTACATCACAATAAGGTACAAGTTGTGGAGAAGGATATAGGGAATATTTGACTGAAAGAAGGGCATATAAGAAGACTCTCCCACAAAAGAACTGAAATGAAGGTATTGTCTTTGAAGTCTTCTCTTAAGAGGTTTCCTTTGGAAATTGATCTCCTAATTTAATCATGAGCTCACCAACGATATAGCAGAAAGATGGGCATGCTAGTGGAAGCTTATAGTCCCAATACTCTGGAGGATGAAGCAAGAGGATTGCTGTAAGTTTGATCTTAGGAAATATTGTGAGTACCTCATTAGCTAGAGTACACAACAAATCCCAGCTTCAGTAAAAGAGAGAGAGAAAAGCAATTTAGCATAACAATTTCCTTTTATGACATGTATTTTTACTTAAACTACCTACTGTTATATATTTGGCTTTTTCAATATTCTTGAGTCAGGAGGTCGAAGGTAGAGATGAGGCCTGGGAATTTAGTGAAGAAAGACATTATTTGGCAAATAAAGGCTTGGAGTTGGATCATAAAATTTTCAGGATGCCTTGGTAGACCTGAAATTTATGAATTGGAGAATATTTCCATATAGGCTACAGATAATAAACAATTGCTATCTTTCTTGAAATATATTAACTACTGAATCATCTCTATTTTACTTTTCATTATTTTTCTTGAGTTAGGGTCTTTCCATGTAGCCTGAATGATTCTCTTGCTTAGCCTCCTGTGTACTGGAATTATAGGAATGAGCCACCATATGTGGCTCATCTCCGTTTTATATTAAGCAAGGTAAATTCAATTAGCATTGTTTTGTCCTCTTTTTGGTGCTGGAAATTGAATGCAAGGTTGCACACATGCTAGGAAAATGCTCTACCAGTGACCTATATTCTCAGCCTTTGTTTTTAATTTTGGTAGATTTTTAGAAATGTGCAAAAGGTATAAAGACCATCATAGTGCATAAATGCTAGTGATGAACATTTTAATCAAATTTGCTTTGTATTTTATATAAAAGTAAATCACTATTCATGAATTTGAAATCTGCATTTTCTCTACTCTTATCCATAGGGGAAGTTCATTTCATCATTTTCAGTCAATTTTTGAGCTAATTAAGACTTAACTTTTAAAGCTTTTAATTAGCATGGTTTTCTTACAGCTTATATCTTGAAACTTGTATGTTTTCTCTTAGACGTCTCCACCTGAAAAACTACTACTTATCCTTCAGGCCCCAGTCCAATTTAATGGATAGGAGCATATCACTACTGAGCATACACTCAAAGGATGCTTTATCCTACCACAAAGACACATGCTTCACTATGTTCATAGCAGCTTTATTCATAATAGCCAGAAACTGGAAACAACCTAGATGCCCTTCAACAGAAGAATAGATACAGAAAATGTGGCTTATTTATACAATGGAGTATTATTCAGCTATTTAAAAGGATGACTTTATGAGTTTTGCAGGCAAATGAATGGAACTAGAATATATCATCCAGAGTGAGGTAACCCAGACCTAAAAGGACATGCATGGTATGTACTCACTAATAAGTGGATGTTAGCCAAAAAGTTCAGAATACCCAGGATACAGCTCTCCCCCTCCCCTACCCAAAGAAGTTAAACAAGAAGGAAGGTCGAAGTGAGGCTGCTTGAATCACTGTATGAAGGGGAATGAAAATATTCATAGGAGGCAGAGGGAGGGAGGTAGGAGGGAGGGAGAGGGGGAAGAGTTGTGTTATTGGTGGGAAAAGGGAGGGGGAGGGGAATGGGGAGGCAGGGCCAGGTGTGGGGAGAGACAGAAGAGAAATCCAGAGGGCTAGGAGAATGAATGAAAATCTGCAGCTGCTGGCATTGGTGCCCCCAACCCCAGACCCAAAAAAGTTAAACAGGAAGGAAGGCAGGCCCAAGGGAGGTTGCTTGAATCACAGATAGAAAGGGGAATAAAATATTCATAGGAAGCAGAGGGAGAGAGGGAGGGAAGTGGGTGGGAGAGGGAAGGGGGATAGGGATGGGAATGGGGAGAGAATCTTTAGGAAGTCCCAGATCTGAGGTGGGGGAAGGTTCCAGGAGTCAGCAGAGATGCCTAACAGTGGGGACATGGAACCTGTAGAAGCCACTTCCTGTAGCCAGTCAGGACCCCCAGTTGAGGGATAAGGACACCAACCTATTCACAAAACTTATGGAAGAGTTGGGGGGAAGATTGAAGGCCCTGTAGGGGGTAGAAACTGCATAGGAAGATCAACAGAGTCAGCTAACCTGGACCTCTAGGAGCTCTCTGAGTCTGAGCCACCAACCAAAGAACACACACACAGGTTTAAACAAGGCCCCCCTCCTCTTGCACATATGTAACAAACATGCAGCCTAGTATCCATGTGGCCCTTAGCAACTGGAGTGTGAGGCTCTTTCTAAAGCTGTAGCCTGACTGTGGTATCTGTTTCCTAACAGGGCTGTCTTGTCTGGCTTCAGTGAGAGAGGATGCATCTACCCTGACAGAGACTTGATGTGCTAGGGTGGGGGAGATATTCAGGGGGCCCCACCCTCTCAGGAGAATGGGAGGGAGATGAGAGAAATCTCTGTGTGTGTGGGGGACCAGGAAGCATTTGATAGTAATAAATAAATTGAAAAAATAATTCTTGATCTATAGAGGGATTCAGTTCTCTCAAATGAAATATACTGTAGATGTACCCATGAGTAGTGTAGGGCAAAACTTCCAAAGTTTTATCCATTCATGACTATGTTTTTTTTTTCATGAAAAGCCTGAGTATACAAATAGGAAAATAGATATATAAACTAAATATTTTCTGATAATAGATAAATAAATATATTTTAAAATAACTCTTTGGTATCTGCATCATTTTATGATATAAAAGATTTACCTACTAATACAATTGAGGTAATTTATTTTTGTATACAGAATGACATCTTGGGCTAGAGAGATAGCTAAGCAGCTGCTCTTCCAGAGGACCCAAGTTCAGTTTCTAGTACTCATTTTGGGTGGCTCACAATTAACTCCAGATCCAGGGGTTTAGTACTTTCTTCTGGCTTTTGTGCGCACTCATACACATATGCTTGTGCATGCATATAGCAAATATATACACTTAATTAAAAATTTAAAATAGATCTAAAAATCAAATTAAATCATGGCTGAATATTTGATACTCAGAACACAGAGCATCTTGAAAATTTTCAGAGCTGATCAATATTTTGTTTTTATAATTGTCAGTATTGAGAATGCCATTTTATATAGAATAGGTGGTACAAAATGGTAGAAATATGTTTATGGCCATTTTAGAAATTATTGGAAATTCTGTCCTAATCTGAAGCCAAATTTTAAAGACGTTTTATTTTTATTTATTTTTATTTTTTGAGACGATTTTTATGTATAGTTCTGGCTGTCCTAGAACTCACTCTGTAGACTAAGCTGGCCTCAAACTCAAAAGGGATTCACCTGCTTCTGCCATAGGAGTGCTGGGAGTAAAGGGGTGTGCCACCACTGTCCAGCTATCTAAAGACTTTTAAAATAAAACTCAACTCAACAGTCAAAGAGCAGTTTTAAAAAATTGTGTGGGCCTGGAGAGATGGCTCAGTGGCCAAGAACCCAGGTTTGATTCTCAGCACATGGTGGTCCACAACTCTCTCCAGTCATAGTGGATCTTCTGCCCTCTTCTGGTCACTCCGGTACTGCATGCATATGATGCAAAACATCCAAACACGTAAAAATAAGTACTTTTAAAAATAAAAGTATTAGAGGGCTGGTCTGAGTGACTGGAGGCAAGATGCAGGACCCCAACGCAGACACCGAGTGAAATGACATCCTACGTAAAAAGGGCATCCTTCCCCCTAAGGAGAGTCTGAAGGAGCTGGAGGAGGAGGAAGAGGAAAAGGAGGAGCGGCTCCTCCAGCAGTCAGTGGTGAAAACATATGAGGACATGACTCTGGAAGAGCTGGAGGAGAACGAGGATGAGTTCAGTGAGGAGGACGAACGAGTTATCGAGATGTACCGGCAGCAATGGTTGGCTGAGTGGAAAGCAACTCAGCTGAAGAACAAATTTGGAGAAGTTTTAGAGATCTCAGGAAAGGACTATGTTCAAGAAGTGACAAAAGCTGGAGAGGGCTTGTGGGTGGTCTTACATTTGTACAAACAAGGGATCCCCCTCTGTTCCTTGATAAACCATCACTTGAGTGGACTCGCCAGGAAGTTTCCCGATGTGAAATTTATCAAAGCCATTTCAACGACCTGCATACCCAATTACCCTGACAGGAATCTCCCCACAGTGTTCGTCTACCGGGAAGGGGATATCAAGGCACAGTTCATTGGTCCTCTGGTGTTTGGTGGCATGAACCTGACCATAGATGAGTTGGAATGGAAACTGTCCGAGTCTGGAGCAATCAAGACGGAGCTGGAGGAGAACCCCAAGAAACCCATCCAAGACCTGCTACTGTCCTCAGTGTGGGGCCCTGTCCCCATGAGGAGGGACAGTGATTCTGAGGACAACTAAGATAGCAGTGATGTAAAGTTTGAACTTTTTTGATATGACACATTGTCTGGATTTTTAATAAGGAGGGAAAAGCAAAAAATTATCATCTTGGTTTTTAACCTTTTTATAATTATTTAAATTTTATACATTTCAGATATAATCATTGCTGAAATTTTTTAAAACATTTGTTGAAACTCTTTAAAAAATAAAATAAAAGTATTGTGTATGTGAGCGCATGATGAGTGTATGTGGATATATATGCCGTTTGTGGGGTAGGTTCTCCATTTCTATCTTTGTACGGGTTTCCTAGGGATCAAACTTAGGATGGCCAGGCTTGCATAAGAAGTGCCATTACTGGGGCTGGAGAGATGGCCCAGTGATTAAGAGCACTGACTGCTCTTCCAGAGGTCCTGAGTTCAATTCCCAGCAACCACATGGTGGCTCACAACCATCTGTAATGGGATCTGATGCTTCTGGTGGATATATATATATTTCATGACCCTTCCACGTTTTTAAGGGACCACTTATTAAGAAGTTATTGTATAGAGCAATGTTCTTTTTGTTGTTGTTTTGTAAATTTGAGACAGGGTCATGTGTAGCTCATGACGATATATCTAGGAAATGCTAGAAGGTATAGAAATTGACTGGAAAGGCTAAGAATGTAGGTAACTGGGCTCTGTACATCAGTGTCTTAGTACAGTATCAGTCTCTGCCTGGCTTCCCCAGCCAAAATTACTTGATGAATGATAAGCAAAAGCAACCACTAGGGGAGAAGGCAGGAACTGGAGGAGTAATGTGTCTAAATGACAATAGTAAAGATGACTGTGGATGGCATGACCTCTTGGATTTTGAAAGCTGGTATTTGCCTAGTTCTCATTTCTTTAGGGCCACAGGTGTGGTTTCTCAATGTCTAGTTTAAAGACCAACACAGGGCTGGAGAGATGGCTCAGCAGCGAAGAGTACTTACTCTTCTTGCAAAGGACCTGGGTTGAGTTCCCTGCACCCACATGGTGACTGACAAACACCTTTAACTCCAGTTCCAGGGACTCTGATGTCATCTTCTGGCCTCCACAGGCACCAGGTATGCACTAGGTAAACATTTGTATGTGTGAGCAAAACAATCATAAATACAAAATAAATGGATGAAATAAATAAAAAACAAAACTTCTACCCTAGAACTCAACCAGAATGTCAAAGAGTAGCAATTTGGTTGGTTCTAGGTGAAAAAGTGATGTTTTTGAATGTATATGGAAAAATGTTTCGCAGGCAGAAAGTTCAGGTTCACACTAACACATATAATGTAGCTCCAGCATTTTCATAACGGGTTCCACCATAGGAATAATCAAATTCCAACTACTATCTTAGTTTCTTCAAGGCTTTTTTTCCACTGCTGCGTCTTTGCTATATTCAAAAAGTAAATGGTAACCTAAACCAGCCGTGGTTCTAATGCAGCTGTCTCAGAGTTATGTTTCAATGTTTGTGTGGACTACATTCATAATACACTTTGTAAGAGCTTAATATAAAATCTTGGAACTCAGATAATGCTTCTATGTCTATTAAAAGAAGTCAGAACTCTGGGATTTGAGAAGAGGTTGCTTGGCAATAATAAAACAGAATAAATCAAGTCACCTTAACACAAAGCAGTTCTTTCTTCTATGTGACAGTTTGTCAAAATTTAAGAGGAAAACGGGCTTTTATTTTTATAAAACTAAAAAAAAAAAGCAAATTACCACATTGTAGAATACATTTCCATGCATAAAAGCTCAATTTTAGTTTCAGTAATTTGGTAACATAGAAAGCAATAAGCAATAATATAATTCTGTATTTCTGTTTTGTTTTAACAGTTGGAAATAAACCATCCTGGGTTTTTCCCGTGCTGATAAAGAATCTTTTGAGCTGGAGTGGTGTTTTTCATGTGTGAAAACAAACACTCATTTCCCACAGGGAAAAAAAAAGACTCACAAATGAGCATTCTGGAGAAAATGTACGTGACTATACCACAGTGTCAGGCAATCTGTTGCTGTAAGGGCAAGACAAACATTTCAGCCTCTGCAGGCCAGGCCATTTCTGTTGTAACCACTTGCTTTTGTAGGAGGGAAGCAGCCATAGGCAGCAGGCAAAATGAATAAGGCTCTTGTCCAGTAAAGCTTTATAAACTCAGGCAACAGACTTCAGCTTGCCAGTCAATACAATTATCCGATAGTTATTATGAGGCTTACTCAACAGGAGCAAATTCATGCCTGTTGATGTACACGTGACCAATCACAGCTGGAGAAGTCATAGACCCTAGAACAGAACCTATTACTACGAATTTTCTAAGCCAGTATAGTTTTTAACTGTATTCTAAATATTTTTCCTTATACTCATAGGTAACTATAGCTCTCATTCCTCATTAGAGAAGCTTCCCCTTGGGAGCTAATACAGAGATCCACAACTGGTCAAAATGTAGAGAACAAGTGGCCATGGGTTACCCATCCCCAGCTGGAACATCTTCAATACAACCCCTACATCCAAGGCTCAGATTGCAAAGGCCAAAGGACCAGGCTGCCGCTGCAAGATAGTGTCTTTAGATATGACAAGGATGCTACTCCATGAACTCTCAACATGGTTGCCTAAGAAGACCTGTAGAAATATACTAGTTGAGTTCCCACCATAGCTGGGGGACACTTCACAAAGCTCCACCCTAGAAGAAAAGCCACAGGTAATCAACTGCAGCTGAGAAAGGGTGAATCTGTCATAAACATTGAAAAGAGTATAGAATCCGCAGTTTCTTTCTCTTTTAAATAATCCCACAAGTAACGTTTCCTTTTTGTCCTTTTTTTGATGACTCCAGGTTCCACTCTTTTTCCATCACCAAATTTAAGAGTTTTAATGAACATTGTAGAAGAATCTCTACCAAATTGTGCTGCAGATATGCACCATGTGCTATTCTCTTGTACCTGGAAGTGCTCTTGAATTCAGTCTGTGTCTCTCCTATCAGTTCAGTGTACTTAGCTCACTTCTCTGCCCACTCCATTTCACATATTTCAGGGATGCATTTGATTATTACCACCAGCTGTTCTATGAACCCTGTATACATTTAGAATCTTCACAGTTATGCTGATTAATTTGACATATTCCTAAAGATAGTTCAGTTGACCTAAAGAATTAGGCTGGAGTAAATAAATGGCTTTCCTCATGTATATTTAAATGGGCTGTAAGGACCAACATTACTTATTGCAATAATTTCCTCTCCCTGAGGATGCTACTCAATGTCTAGCTCCTCCTAATAAAGTCCCTATTAAAAAAATTAAACCTGTTTTTTTTTTTCTTTCTAGCTCCTTCTCCCAGAATAATGACTTCGAGAGTAATTATTGACAAATAAATGCCTTGGCCATAAGCTTTGGCTCCTGCCCTGACTAGCTTGTAACTCATTTAATCATTTAAACTATTCTATGTCTACCACTTGGTTAGTTACCTCTTTTCAGTCCTGGCCTGCTTCTTCCTTCACACCTCTTCAGTGTCTCAGCGTCTCCCTGCAGGCTTATGTTGATCTCCTTGTGGCAATCTTGAACCTCTCTTTTCTACTCTCACTACTTCCCAGAATCCTCTCCCTTCCTGCCAGCGTACCACCTCCCATTTCCTGCCTCAGCGCATTGGCCATTGACTTGTTTTTTGACAGGCGATGCTTAAAAGAGATTCTCTCTGCAATCTCAATGACAAAACCAAAGTTCTACTCCACTAAAGATCACCATGGGGCACCAATGAGTTTATTGGGCTTACTTACAGGCTATGGGTGAGAGATTACATGGGAAAATGATTCACCTTAAAGCAGTCACACCTGAAGGGCTGCATTCAGCATGGATGATGGCTTCCCCATGACTATGTAGAAGGGGTTCTTTAACCTTCATTTTCTCCCAGCCTGTTATATATTCTAGCCCCACCTTGAGAGTTTGAGGCAACATGCAATTAGGAAAAATTACAAACAACTGGTTGTATGGAGTGGTTGGATACTTAGGTAGGATCCTGTCACTCTCCCCACCCCATCAATATCCATGAAGGAATGTAAACAGATAACAAACCCAGCTGTGATTATCCTTTGTAAACCAGCACAACTAGTCTTGTGAAGGTAGTAGCAGTTCCACTAGAGGACAGTTCTGTAAAACACATTGAACTCCATCACCAAACACAAAGGAAAAGGACTGTTTACGTGAAGGGCAAGGTAGACAAAGAAGGAAAAATATTGAATCCCTCAGAAGTCAGACAAGATAAAGCCAGACAAGATAGTCTAACCATCCCCTTGAGATGGCAGTAGTTGGAAAGGATGAGAGGCTAATGAACCCTTTTGGACCAAGTTACGATTACTGCTGGTCTTTATTCTGTTCATCCATTCCAAGCAGAAAGTATGGATGGTTATTAAATACATTACCTAAGAAAGAAGATATGGATTTCAATGGTTTCTGCAGTCTTGCACTAAATTTTCCCAGTTTTTGCTTTTGTATTTGATTGGGAGACATGAAATATTCTTCTGGAGTTTTTTCTACCAAGAATGAAATATTTAGTGTTATGAATTTCCCTCTGAGCGCACATTGTTTTCACTGTTCTTAATTTATACATGTGTTTCTTATTTCAAATTTGATTTCTCTTCTAGTCCCCACATTTTTCAGAAGATTATTTTAGAGTTTTCCAGATAGCTCTGTCTTTCTTGTTTTTTTTTTTTCCTCTTTTTCTTTAGCATCCAGCTTATAAATTGTGGTAAAAAAAAAAAAGTCCACAGCTCGTGAGGACCTAGTCCTACTGGGGAAGCTGCTGTTGTTTTGCTAAATAGGCATGATGGGCTCATAAAATTGCCTTCTACATAACTGCTGTCAACTTTGGTCAGACATGCTTCTTTTTCAGCTGTCAGTGGTTACTGTAGAGACTTATAACTGGCCAGAGTAGTACAAATAAGTGCCTGTTGAGTATTCAGTCACAAATGGGACATCTATTTTACCTTTACAAAGGCTCAGGGAACGTCTTGGAAGAGAGAGTTGAAAGAATATAAGGACATTGTCAGTTAGATGGTTCCTTGGGCAAAGATGCTTGCAGATTAAGCCTCAGTTGGATCTCCAGAGCCTGAAAGCAAATACTGATGGGGAGCACCTGTAATCCTAGCATTCCTACACCAAGATGTAGAAACAGGAAATGAGCCTAGAAGGTCTCAGGCCAGGCAGCCTGGA